AGTTATTAAGTTTCAACGTATGTTACACGTAATAGCACGTGTAATCTCTGTTACAGCATCTACAACCGTGCAACTTCATTTCCAAGCACACACGGAATGATTCGGAAGAGAAATTTTGAATTGGAAAACACAAATTTTTTAAAATTTCTATTCCTAGAGAAAATAGCAATAAGCGTAGTATAATTTTTATTAACTTATTAACTAGTTTTAACTTTTCAGTAATTAATTAATTTAAAATTTATAATGATATAACTTTACCTGTTAAGCCCAGTTTTCCGTGTTTGAATATTTAAATAAAATGAAATTATCAAACTAACCCAAATTCAGATCCGCTATTTCATAATATTTACAAATACTGTAATTTAAATATATTAGAATCTCTGAATCCGATAGAATTTTTCGTTGATTCTAAATTGTTTCCAAATAATTCAAAGTTATCAATTTAGTGGTCAAAATTTTTATTTATTATAATTTATCATCAATTATTAGCGCTTATTGGAAATTATTTTTGAAATTATTTCATTTCAGTTGAACAAGCGTATCTCTTGTCCAATTGAAGTGAATAAAAATTAAACTTTTAAAAATTAAATTTTAAAAAGTTTATCAAGAAGTTTGGTTCATATATATTAGAAATCTAAAAACTGACTATAAACTAAAATCATTTCAAAATTAATACCATTAATTCATCGTTTTTTTTCTTGAAATTTTTATAAAAAAAATATTAATAAAAGAAATGAATGTTTTTAATGTGAGAGAGAAAATTATCGATCATTTAATGTTTGATAGAACCAATGACGAGGCATGATAAAATCAGGAATTATATGATTAAAATATGGATCACTACGTTGTCTAGCATCTCATTCTTCACTGTACAACGATACAAATAACCCAATGCCAATTAATAAATTAGTATGCATTGCTATATTCCGAACTTGTTTTGAAGTGATAAATTGTGATAAAGAATAGAAAATTTCCTGTAAAATTTTTTATTTGATTGACCTATTTTTTTCTTTTTTTCAGGATCAAATTGAAGATGGAAATTCTTTTTCAATTCATTTCGTTTCATTTTTACTACAATTTTTTTTTTATTTTAATAATTCATAAACTTAACAAATCATAAATATTAACAATTAACAATTCATAAATAATTTATGAAACTTTTTCTTGATAACTCCCAAATTATTTTCATTAAATAATTAGTGTTATTGAAAAAATTTTTAAGCAAAAATATTTAATTTTTAACTTTCCCTTTAACCTGAATAAATTAAAAAGTAACTTGAATATTTCAATCATTCCTCCTGTGTTTGTGAGAGAGGGGAGAGGAAGAGAGAGGCAGAATAATTGAGAGCTTTTCATTTTCTAAATTTGTGAAAAATATAGGTCATATACCTCCGAAAATGAAATATAAGGTTAATATGATAGGATAGAACATTCTCAAAGCCAAACCAAACCAGTACTCATGGAATATTGAATATTGATGAAAAAAAAAATACCATTGTTTGAGCAATGAAAAGACCTTTCTTTCCTCCAATCATCTATAAAATATTTAAATTAAAAAAATAATTTCATATGATTATTTTGCTAAACTTTTGCTTCATGCAATATTTGAATTTGCTACTTGTTAAATTGTAAATAACCTGTGAAATATCTCGATAAATATAGGCATAGAGCCATTCATGTACTACTATATTCCAAAATCGATAATATTCAGCCATCGATTTTGAACTCCACCAATTCTGAAACAAGTACTATACTTATTTAAGTAAGAAGGAAAGAAGTTTTTTCATAATTTAACTTTAATATGCTTAATTAGCTCAGTTATTATTTTCGACATTTAACAACAAATTTATCAATTGCTTTCAATTAAAAAAAGGTCACAATGAATTAATAAAAATGAAAATAAATTTTGGAAGAATTTAATAATGCAAATAAAATTGTCGATCTGAATAACGCAATAATTCTGCAAACATATTCAACTAGCAATTAGTAAACCATAGAAAAGTAATAGTAAACATAATGCATCAGCTGTTATCGAAGTAAATATATAACTTACTTTTACTGAAAAACTGCCATAACATTTTCTTTCTCATATTGAGGTAATATCATCTGAAATCTAAAAAATTTCATGAAATTTGCAAGAATTCATTTAAAAAAAAAAAGAAGGTACGTATTTATTTGATTAAAAAATAGGATGAAATCTAGAAAAGTAAAATTTACTTGTATGGAAATAAGATGCAATGAATTATAATAACAATCTCTTGTGCATAGTCTTTTACATCTTGCCAATTGCAATTTGAATTTCTAAATTGAATTGGTTAAAAAATTCATTATGTATCAATATGATTTATTGAATTAAAGATGCGTTTAAAGAATTGTTTAGAATACCTTTGTTAAAATTGACGAAAGACAATGAGAGACAGAAAAAGAAATGTATTGCTTAAGCGTTGAATATTTTTCCGGAGTGTCACCATCCTGATCAGATCAGTAAAATTTAAAAAAAATTAGCGAAAAATTTATCTTTCGTTTTTTTTAGACGAATAACAATAAGTAAGAATGTTGCAATATACCCAATAAATTTTACATGAAAAAATTAATCAAGAATTGTACATAAATTAAATTATCATTTATATAATTTGTAATCCAATATTGTTGTCAATAATAATTCTTGAAATTTTAATTAATTTTTAAGTTTATTGAGAGTTAAGAAAAGTTTAGCTAACAATAATACCTTGAAACCATCTGTTTTACCAGCTTCAATTTTTAAAGGAACTGCCAACGAGTACACGTCAGGTATGAAAGAATGAACTTTTATTGAAATGCAAAATTGAATTTAAATTTTTTTTTACTTTTGTCAAAAATTCTTTAATTGAAAAAAACATTCACTCTTTACATTAAATGTTGTTCTGATAATGATGTCATTAAATTTGAAATAAAATTTAAAATTTATTTTTCATTTCTAATCTTATCTAAATAATTTTATCACTGATATTAATGCACAATTAATTTTTTACACTTTCGCAGGTTAAAATAAAGATGCATTCGAAATTCGAGTTGCATCATTAAAACAAAATCGAAAAGAGCAATATAATAATGCACATAAATAGATAGCATAGAGAAACAATAAAAAGATAAAATCTTTCATTGGTTCCCGAAATATATCTGAGTGATAGACGATAACAAGGAGATATTTTATCAGATGACATTTACCTGTTATTAAATATGAATTTATTCATTATTTTTGATTTCAGATATTGAATTTTATACTTTATATTAATTTAAATTACGATTATGTTCTCTTTGAAGGTGCGGTTTAGTTACAATTCTTTCTAATTTGTAATTCAGTGCATGGTACTTTCTTGCATACTACTTTACTATTTCAAATTACTTACCGTTTCGCATGGTATTCTAGTCCAGAACTGCAAGCTATAATAAATAAGCAACGTGCTACCTGCTAATAAACACTAGAATATTAAAGTTATTGGTAAATTGTTGAAATTCCATTTTATCAGTCATAATAAATGATGCACTGGACTAAAAGTATGAAAATAATTTTTATGGCTTTCTAATTAAATTCATAAATTTTATAAGCAATAAAATATTTTTAATACAACGTTGCATTTTTATTTAAAACGTTTAAAATGACGTTAAAATTCTGTGCATCACTGAACAATTCGTTTATAATCACACGTTTACTTGAAGCAATAATATTGAACGTGTACATACGTTTAAGTATATTAGATGATACAGTTCATAGCATCTTACTTCCCATGAGATACGCTATCTTCCAATATTGTTTTCAAAAATAGTAGGAAAAACATGGCGGAAGAAATTCTTTAGATATGACAAATCTGTTTGCGTCAAAAGTGTTCTGAAAATTCCATAATAAGAAGTAAAATTATTTCCTATCAAAAATGAATGAATAACTTTTAAATCATTTTAATAAGTAATCAGTAATTGTGACAAGAAATCATGACAAAATCAATATTTTAATTTTAATATATTTCTATATTTCTGAAAAAATTTATTAAGTGAAAATTTTACGTCAACAAAGATGGACGTTATTGAAATTCTTTCATTCTGAATTGTTTATTTGTATGCTTTTCCATTTCAATTGATATCTCTTCGTGGAAATTTCTCTCTTTTTTTAAAGCTATAAATAATATTGCAGTAAAAATAACTTACAATAATTATACCAAAAAAAAGAAAAAAATAAAAAAGAAAGAAAAGGAAAAAAAAAGAATAAAAAAACAATAAACATTGGACTCCATTAGTGACAAATAGTAATTCAAGTTCACATGAAAGCATCTCTTTATAATTTAAATAATAATTCAAGTTCACGTCCTCATAGTATTATGTGACCTAAAAAGGGAGACAAATAGAGGATCACAGAACACGATTGTTGTCTATTTTTGCATTTGTTGAGCAGTGATATGAATTGAAATGAGACTGAGATTGTCCGAAATTTTTTAACGAAATAATCGTCAAACTTTTAAATTAGAAACATTCACTCACTTTCATGCATAAATTCAAAGCACTTACATACTGATTGATTTTTAATTTTAAAAAGAGCAAACTTTTTTTGTTTAGTTTTTCCAAATGATACATTCGGGAAATTTTCGATTTAAATATGATATCAACAGATCATCAATTTGTATACTGTATAATAATCATTAGTCATTCATCATAATCACTCATAAAAAGTGCACAAATTTGAACGATATTAGATTTCTATAATTTAAACGATTTTAATATTCGCTAATTATTTAATAAATAATTTGAAATTCATAACAAAAGTTATTGGCATTAGCGATCATTTATGAACGTCATTCAAAATGACCTTTATTTGGCATATTTATTCAATTTTTACTTAGAAATTTAGTATGCTCATATTTTAATGATTTTTTAATCAATTTTCTCGGATATAATTAAAATGCTAATTAAATAAATTTTGATTATATTGAGATTGCAGAAATGTTTACAATTTGCATACTTTTGCAACAATGTATAAAATAAATAGAGGAATATATGCACATAATGAGAATAAAATATTTGATAAAAGTTTAAAAGAAATATTTTATAATTTATCATTAATTTATTTAATATTAAAATTGCAGGAGCGGTTGCAATCATTTGTAATTCTCATTATTTTCTGCCATTGTGTGGTAATTTCTTTTACATTTACGAAAAATATTTCAAAAAATATTTTATTTATAAATACTTGCAATAATTTTATCACTCAATCAATTTTCATCACATTTATTTATATAAAAAAGAATAAGCATTCTTATTTTTTGACAGAAAATTTCATTTTGATGTTTGCTTCAAATTTTAATATAATATAATTTGCAGTGTATTTAAACTAATCAAATCAAAAAAAAAAAAAAAAAAAAAAAAAAGAAAGAAAATGGAATCAATAGCTTCATTATCAATTATCATCGAAATTGCATTTATTTGCTTACAAATTTGCACATTTATTGAAATAACCATGCTGTTAATCACAACATGCTGCAAAAAATTATCAACCCAAGAAAATAACACTGTTGTAAGAAGAATTCATGTATACATTCAAAGCGCATTTTTGTAAACAGTGCCAAAGTTCAATTGAACATTTTGCATGTAAAGTAGATACAATCTAAGTTGCACTCATATTTACAAGGTGGTATACAAATTATTGCATTAAATATGGATTACTTATCGTAACATTTATTTGTTTATTTCTTTGGCTTATATTTTCAATTACAAATTAGACTAGCGTTAAAATATATATATATAAATTTTTTTTTTTCATTTATATAGTATTTCAAATTATTTCTAAAAAAACTATTGTCACATATTTTCCATGAAATATTAATTCTCTCAAAGAATATAAATTTAAAATTTAAATTTATAGCAAGAATTAAAACCAAAAGTATCCAAAGAAACGATAAAATCGCCAGCACAAAGAAGAGCAATTGCAAAAATTAGAGAGGGTTAGCAAGAATAAAAATTACCTTACTTTTACTAGTGTTTTGAAAGAAAAAATGGAATACTTTAAATTAATTAAGATCATATTTTTAGGTGAAATGATTCCAGCAAATCAGAGTGAAACAATTGATGATGCAATAAGTAATTGGGGTGCTGTGCAAAAAGTTGAACGTAAACTACCTTTAAAAAAGGTATATAATATTTTGATTCTTATCACTTTGTTACTAATACTTTCCATTTTTCAAATGCTATTCATTTTCTGTTCATTTCAAATTTAAAATCATCTTTTTACATTAAAACATCTTAGTGGATGATAATATCAGATTACTAGAAGATATTTTAATTACTTCATTAATTCATACCATTTCTCTACAGATATAACAATATCACTAGAAGACGTTTTGATTAATTCATTAACTCATACCATTTGTTTTTTTTTTTTTTTTTTTTTTTTTCAGAAACGTCAAAAAGTTAAAAGAAGAAAATGAGAATGACGAATGTTTTAAGTGATACTTTTGTTATCATTTTCGACTTACTTTTTACGTGTTTCATTTTCTTGCAGAATAATCACTTATAGAAAAGGATTCAACTGAAAAGAATTTATTTAAGTGATATCTTTTATATTGGCTAAATTCCAAAACTTCTGAGCAGTTTTATTATCAATTCTTAAGCAGAAAGCAAAATATCATTAATATTAAATTAATAAAATATCATATTTAGTCACATAAAACTAAATTATACACTGTCCATTGTTCACAAATTTTTGAAAATTTTCTTTCTTTTTTTAGAGTGCTAACTATAGATATAAGCAGTAACTTATTTGTTCTGTACATTCTTCCTTACCACATCTTTTCTGTCATTTGCTGCTCATTAATTCCTGCAATATATGATCATACGAGAATATACGATCGTCGATTAATTCCTTCAAATGATTTTGGTTGAATGTTTACCAAATAATACTTTAAAATGAATTATATTGTTGATTATACTACGCCTATCTCTAGTATTGCCTATTAGATTTATTCAAGAATTAACTAACTAATTTAAGCTTCCTTGTCTTTAAACTTTGATTTTTCAGTTAAATTTTTTTAAATGCTACACAAAATTTCGGTAAGTAGTATGAGTTTCTTCAATATGAGTGGGAAATATTGTAATTAAAAATTGAAATTAAACAAAGTAAATGTTATAACTCAGTTCTTCAGATTTATTTTCCACATTCAAATTTTCTAGCCTAATCGTATTCCATTTTTACATTATTAATAGAGTTTTACTATTACGCTTTGCTTAGTGATACGTCGTACGATCATAAATTATAACTCATTGATGTATGAAACAGAAATCAGTTCATCGCATTTAGCAATTAATTGTAATTCTGAAATGAATTTCGTTTTCTTCTATTATCTGAAGAATGCGCCATTTGATAAATGATTATTAATCGGCTGTGAATCACTCTCAAATATGAATTAATTAATTCATCAATTAGATCCTATAGCTCATCAGCTCTCAATCCTCAAATCACTCAATCGATCAATTCATGAGCTAATCAAACCTAACATCAATAAATCACAATGTGTGTGCCGTTTTGTATAAAATAATACTCAAAATGAATTTCTGAATCAGCCAAAGTTTTTAGTTGAATATTGCATTGATTCATTCTCCATTGACTCTTCCAAGATGTGAGGTAAAATTGTTGATTGGTTCACATAAGCGTGGCCTATAAGTTGACGCTTAGATGTCCTTGCTCATTTCGATCAAGCTTTGTCAATTACACATTAGACTGTAACATTGTCTTTTCGCAGGATAAAGGTCTTCCCTTTTCAAACTATTTTCACTACTGTTATTAAAAATCTATCTTTCTCAAGTTATGAAGATATATGTAGAGAGAGAGAGGGAGAGAGGGGAATAAAAGATAATAATTTACCTTTCTAGTTCAGTAACTAATTTCATTGATCTCTGAGTTACGCTTTCAAGATTTTTATAACGTTGTTTCTATTAGTTCAGTAACTAATTCCATACACATAGAATTTTGTAACCATGCAAAAACTTTCGCACTTTGCAGTATTTGTATTGTATTTCCTTTTCATCTATTTTTTCCTTGATTTTAAAGATGACATATTCATCTTTTGTTTTGCATCTGGAAATCATTTCTTGACAGCAAACGAAGAAGTGTTTGGCCTTTAAAGATGAGTAGTTGCAAAGTGAAACGTTCAATACGAGTGAGAGTTGGTCCTCTGAATTCATCAACGCCAAAAATGAAATTATCTCGCACAAAATCTGGTAATCAATTGGAAGTGTGTTCATGCAACTTTATCTGTTGTTTGTTGTTTTTAAGGTCGTTATCCTGGTGTTTACCAACCAAGGCACATGGCATTTTATTTTGTCCCAATAATTTACCTTTCTGTGATTTGAATTTTATAACTTCAAGTCCTAAGATGCTTCAGATTTACTTCACTTCAGATTCGTTTGAATCGAATCACACCGAGCCACTATCAACTTTTTCACCAAGTTTTGCATATGGTAAGTTCAGTATTTCTCACAGGCCCCGAAAAAAAGAGGCGCTGTGAGTCCCTGTTCTGACTATTTTTTTATGTTTTTCACCTTGTTCTTCAACCATTCATTTGGAAAATGGACATTTGCTTTTTATTTTGTGCTGTTTTTCTGAATTACTTAAGTCTTTATGTTTTATTATGGAAAAATCTACCCAATCGAGTCTCCCTACTCAAATTATATGAAAGTTCTTGAGATAAAACTGGATTATCTCTTTTAAACTTCTAAACGCATTTTACGAATAGTCATTTCTTAAGCATTATTTGAGTGACACAAAATTTGTAAAATGTTAAAAACAAAGGAGAGCACTGTATGTAGTCGGATGGCTGAAATATATTTTTTCGTGAATTCCAATTAATTTATGAACTAAAATGGAGATAGACAGTGGAGTGAAGTGATTATCTGATATGAATTGCTATGAAAGAGGGTTCATTTCTTCCCTTGCTATGTAATGAAGTAGCCGAGGGTAGTAAGAGGCTGTTAAAGAGTAAAGAAAAGGGCTAGAGTTTCTGCATTATATTAGAACAGCAATACCGTGGTGACATTTCATTATTTTTCAGGGTTGTCCATTGTTCTTTAGTGGTTGATTTATTCCTTCAATCTGCTGTATTGGTGTAATAAAGGCCGTGACATAAACTGCTCAAATATAATCTCTTCAGCACTATTGCGAATTATATTATAATGGCACTATTTTAATTTTTTATTAGAAATGTTCTGTTGATATCGTTTTGAACTTAATTATTTGCCTTGTTACAGCTTCAATTTATCGTTTTATATTCAAATATCTTTTTCCATTCATTACTGGCTTTTCATAATAGTTATAATTTTGAAATAATTGGTAAATGAATGATTTAATAGTTTCACTATACTATGTATGTTAGGGCGGTATTGACATGAGACTATACAAAAAGCAGAAAACTATTCCAATAATATTCACCAGTTGTTTCCATTCTTGTATTGTAAAGAGGTAACCGACTTATTAGATAGAATGATAAGCAGGACATGATGATTAGGAGAACCTTATTAGAACTGACAGCCATTGATAGCGCAGAATGATAAGCAATACTAATTAGAATATGAATAGTTAGCAAGACTGCTGAAGAGATTGTTTTAAATAGACATCTAGTTCTAAATAAAGATAACAGTAAATGCAAGATGGTTGTAAGTTTTTTATATGAGATAAAACGCCATTATTAGAAGTAAGAACTGTCACTGCTAAATTCGAAAAATGAACTGTTTTATATGCCCATGTTCAAAGAACCATATTCTTAAGCTTTATTTTGTTGTATGTTACCATATATGCCTTATCGTGCAATTAATATTTATTGCCTTAAGTCTGTTTTTTTCTTCGTTTAATTACGTATTCCTTTTTTGAAGATGGCGCAGACATCGGCGAAAAAAGGCACTATATCTCAAACGATACCTTTGGTTAGGAAAAAGAATTTTCCGCGAGTAATTCACAGTCACGATCACGTGGTCGTAAATTGCGTCGTTCGACACCACAAGTTTGTTATGCTCTTTTTTCTGTTTTTATCGGATTTTCCATGAGGCCGGCCCTTTTTAATGTGAAGCTAATGTATGGCTTAAAAGAACATGAAATTATGCTTACCAACTTTATCTTCCACTTTACTAATGCTTGCTTTTAGACGTCTCAGACCGTTAAAACTGATTCAATTGAAAAGCTACTGCCGAACAATGTACGTCATTCGATTATCACTTCTGCCAATTCGGCCACACTTGAAAATCATTCTTCGGCACCTACTATTTTCGTTTACTGTAACCAGATGACATTTTGATTAATTCATTAACTCACATCATTTCTCTACAGATATAACAATATCACTAGATGACATTTTGATTAATTCATTAACTCACATCATTTCTCTACAGATATAACAATATCACTAGATGACATTTTGATTAATTCATTAACTCACATCATTTCTCTACAGATATAACAATATCGTTAGATGACATTTTGATTAATTCATTAACTCACATCATTTCTCTACAGATATAAGATATAACAATATCGCTAGATGACATTTTGATTAATTCATTAACTCACATCATTTCTCTACAGATATAACAATATCGTTAGATGACATTTTGATTAATTCATTAACTCACATCATTTCTCTACAGATATAACAATATCGTTAGATGACATTTTGATTAATTCATTAACTCACATCATTTCTCTACAGATATAAACAATATCGCTAGATGACATTTTGATTAATTCATTAACTCACATCATTTCTCTACAGATATAACAATATCACTAGATGACATTTTGATTAATTCATTAACTCACATCATTTCTCTACAGATATAACAATATCGTTAGATGACATTTTGATTAATTCATTAACTCACATCATTTCTCTACAGATATAACAATATCGCTAGATGACATTTTGATTAATTCATTAACTCACATCATTTCTCTACAGATATAACAATATCGCTAGATGACATTTTGATTAATTCATTAACTCACATCATTTCTCTACAGATATAACAATATCGCTAGATGACATTTTGATTAATTCATTAACTCACATCATTTCTCTACAGATATAACAATATCGTTAGATGACATTTTGATTAATTCATTAACTCACATCATTTCTCTACAGATATAACAATATCGCTAGATGACATTTTGATTAATTCATTAACTCATGTCGCGAATTATAATTTCGCGAAAACTTCTAACCAATTTCATAGTATCATAAATCATCTCTCTTTTTAAATTGTAAACAATCCTACAGTATTCACACATGTATTTTTAATCTCTTTGTAGTAAACACTTTAAATTCTTTACACATGAGATTTTATCTTAGACACACCCAATCCTCACTCATATAAATTCAATCCTAATAAACAAAACCATTAATTATCATCATTGTCGACTACGCTCATTTAACCAAGATCAACTCCTCCAATCTTCTTTATTATAAAATTTCTTCTCTTCTTTTACTGCTCTGTTTATTAATACTAAGTTTGCGAAAAATAAAGACTTATTAATCTAATCCTTCTACTGTATTGCAAACGATTCCAATATCAACCAACAGACGACCTTTCACGACAAGAATTTTTTGGTGCCACGAGCCGGGAACATGTCAAGCCACATCATCGCAAGCTTTCAACCGGCAAAGGAAAGGTTAGTCAGTCTTCTTAAAGAAGTAAATCAACTGGAGATCAAATCTCCAGATCCAAGTATGACAATAGAAGAAAAAGAAGATTTTTATGTGATAAGAAAAGAGTGTTAGAAGATAAACTTCGAAGAATCCAATTATGCGTAACTACGCTTGAATCTATCAACGATAAATGGTTCACATATACTCAACAAATCGTCACGATGAAAAGAAGAGAAGAAGAGGAAGAAAAATACAAAACAGTAACAGAAGGTGACCAAGGAATATTTCAATTATTACACAAAGGAAAGGAAGCTGTAATAACACTGACAATGCACAAGGATGAAGTCGACCAAAACTTAAAACAACTCTCAAAGGAGTTGACGAACAAACAAACAAAAGAAGAAGCAAAATTTACTCCTTCTTCAAATATTAATGTATATCTTCCTCATTTATCGCTCCCTACTTTCGATGGAGACCCTAGACAATGGCGACAATTTTGGAGCAGTTTTAACGCAGCAGTCCACACACAAGCGATTCCAGAAATACAAAAATTGAATTACTTGTACTCATGTCTTAAAGGAAAGGCTCTACAAGCAATATCTGGATATGATATAGCTCCAGAGAATTATGAAGTCATCAGAAAACTGCTCAATGAAAAATATGGAGATCACTCAATAGTAACAACATTACTCTACAACGAACTCCAATCAATTAAACGAAATGAAAGAGAATGGATTGGAACAATTGAAAATATAGAACGAGTACTACGCCAGTTAGAAGCTCTAGGAGAAAGCCTCGAACATTCAAATATTGAAATCTTGATCAAGAGCAAGTTGCCATTATGGATATTAAATAAAATATATAAACACAAGAAGAAGGACATGCCTTGATCAATTCTCAAACTAAGAAACTTTTTAACAAGTTTAGTTAATGTGAATGAACAGATTAGAAACTGTCAACATTCACTCACTCAACTCAATATTAAATCTACAACTACCAAACCGGAACAAAAACAACGATACAATCCCGGAGGAACTTCAGCATTGTCGTCAATAAAAGATAATCAAAATACTTCGAAAACTACAACAACGAAAAGACGACCATGTGTATTCTGCAATCAAGATCATTGGGACAGCGATTGCGTGAACTACACAACTCTCAATGCTCGGCTTAGTCGTCTCAAAGTGTTGAAGAAATGTACTATTTGTCTTAGAGACAGTCACAAAGGACAGAATTGTAATGTCAAAAAACAATGTTTTTATTGCAAAAGCTCACATAATAGTGCTTTATGTAATAAAAGGAATTCACTTTCTTTAAACAATACAATGTCTCAAAGAAATGAAGAGCATGAAAGAATTGGACCTTCGAAACGAAAGGATTGTTCAACTTCTCTCTATAACTCCACATTAACAACTCGATCCAAACAAACAAAGGAAACCTTACTTTTATGTAAGGAGATAAAGGTTTTTAATCCATCACAACCTCAACTACAACAAAATACCCTTGCATTATTTGATATTGGATCGCAACTCTCCTTCATCTCCAAAAAATTATCACGTCAATTAAAGTTAACCGAAACAGAAACTCAAATTATGAGAATAGCTCCATTTGGTATGAAAGAACCGAAATCATGTCCCACTGCTCGCATACAACTAAATGTGCTAACTACCGAAAGCGAAATCATACCACTACAAGCAAATATAATTGATTATCTAACAAATGAACTGCAGGTAGTGGAGACATCAAATGAATTTCAAATTCAAAATTTGACAAATTATTGGAAAAAACCTGACGTATTGATTGGAGCTGACTATTTTTTCAAATTTATTAACCTACGAGAAATTAGGGAATTGAAATCAGGACATATGTTGGTTCAATCAAAAGTTGGTCCAATGATTGCTGGAAGTGGAGATATTAAGAAACTCTGCAAGAACGAATTATATCCTAAAGAAGTAGTATATTCTACAAACGTCAATATTAACACGGAGCTAGAAAAATTTTGGAAATTAGAGACGATTGGTATTCAAGAATCACCTCAAGATGATGATGATGATCAAGCTTTAAAGCATTTCAAACGGACCATCATCAAGCAGGGTGGAAGATATCAGGTTTGTTGGCCATGGAAAGACTCCAAACAAAAATTAAGCAATAATTATGGATTATGTCTGGGACGATTGAAGAATTTGATCAACCGCCTACAACATAATTCAAATCTCCATTCATATCATCAAATACTTATGGATCAACTACATTCAGGTATAATTGAAGAAGTACCTCCAAAGGATGAGGTAGGCGTTATTCATTACTTACCACATCATGAAGTATTAACTCCCAGTAAATCAACAACTAAATTAAGAATAGTATATGATGCTCAGCACATCACAAAGGTTTTAAAAGCTTAAATGAAGTACTATATCGAGGTCCAGTAATGTTACCGGATTTAGTTGGAGTAATATTACGTTTTCGGATGATGAAAATAGTAATAACCGCTGATATCGAAAAGGCATTTTTACAACTAGAACTACAAAATGAGGAAAGAAATTGTACACGTTTTCTTTGGTTGGATGATATTGATAAAGAACTAACCAATGAAAATATAAAATGTTACCGATTTAAGAGAGTTCCTTTTGGAATAATATCCTCACCCTTCTTATTAGCAGCAACATTAAATTACCACCTAGAAAATCATGGTAGTGAATTGGCATGGGAGATAAGAAAGAACTTATATGTAGACAACGTCATTATATCAGCAAATGGAACAGAAGAGGCCTTATATAAATATGAAAGAACGAAAGAAATTTTTGCTGAAGCATCGATGAACATAAGAGAATTTCTTTCAAATGACGAAGAATTTAATGAAAGAATAGCTGAATGCGACCTAAGCCAAACAAATCAGGAAAATTTTCTTGGTCTTAAATGGAACCATGAACGAGATATTATCCGTGTGACACTGAAACCATGGATAGGAAAAAGTTTAACAAAGAGGACTATCCTACAATTCATAGCCTCCCAATACGATCCATTGGGTCTTCTCGTTCCTATAATGATCAAACTTAAATTATTCATACAACACTTATGGAAAGAAAACATTCCATGGGATCAATCTTTAAACAAACAGGACGAACAACAGTGGATAAATCTCATCAAAGAATGGCCAACAAATATAATAGAGCTACCAAGATTTATAGTGGAAACTTCACAATTAACAGAATTCCATATATTTACTGACGCTTCGAAAGTTGCCTATTCTGCAGCTATTTATATTCTCAATCATGGATATCAAAACACATATTCGAATTCATTTTTGATTTATGCTAAATCTCGAATTGCTCCAATTAAAGGTATGTCAATTCCTAGACTTGAATTATTATCTGTACTAATTGGAGTAAGAGCAGCTCAGTTCGTATTGAAACAATTAAATCTTGAAAATAATCAAGTTACTTTGTGGACGGATTCAAAATGTGTTCTTTACTGGATACAGAATTATACAAAGCTGCTTCCCAGATTTATACAAAATCGTATCGAAGAAATAAGGAAATCTAACTTCGAATTAAATTACATACCAAGTGATCAAAATCCAGCAGATATAGCCACCAAAGGAGTATCACCACTTAAACTCCAAAATTGTAAACAATGGTGGAA